CACACACACACACACACACACACACACACACACACACACACACACACTCACTCACACACACTCACACACACACACACACACACACTCACACACACACACAAACACACACAAACACCAACAACAACAGCTACCCACCTACCTACCCACTTACCTACCTACCCACTTACCTTCCTCCCACCCACCCACCTACTCGAAACTAGTTACGGCCACCTCTATAACATACTCACCTGTACAAACGGTCACTTCTCATTTACTCCTTCGGGGGTTTTTTCATATTATAATAACATTGTGTTTGACGTCCACGTGTTTAAGACGGCTCATTCTATCCTCAACAATGGGTGGCCGTCTCAGAAAATACAATCTAGCAAGCACATGCCGAAACATGCACGTAGCGAACAGATTTTCAGATCGCCAATTTGTTCTTATACATTTATTTCTTTGTAATCCAAACACTCACACCACGAATTCGTACATAACGAAAAGAATTTTGAGTCCTGCCGATTTCATTATTTCCCCCAGAATGCCTATTATAGCTTTTTAAATTATACACTGGTACACTGTCTTTGAAAACAGACAAAACTGGACTGAATGAGAAAAATACAAATTTGAGAAAGCGAAACTATCTCTTCAGCTTTAGAGATCAGGCATCGTAGCAAGAAACTAATACGGTCTTTTCCGGGTGGGTGGTGGTTTGGTTATTCAGAGAGAGAGAGAGAGAGAGAGACAAAGCCAAAGAGAGAGACAAGAGTCGGAGAGTACTGGGGGGGGGGGGGGGGGGGGGAGAGAGAGAGGTCAGTGTAGCCTGTCTTTACAAGCTCTTGCCCTGTAGGGGCCTCCTGTCCTTTTAGTGTCGCTCAACTCATGATATTGTTGGCTATAATTCAAAATTTCTTCTGATTTTTTTGTGACAGAAATATTACATACTTCATCAAGGCATCCACTTTGCGTTTGTAGACGAATATGAATCATCAAAAAAGGGGGTTTACCCGATCAGGCGGAGGGAGATATAACAAGGTTCAATTTGAGTCCTAGAATTACGAGTTCATAAATCCAGATCGTTACACTGGAATGCGATTGTCGTAAGTGGATTGCGAAGCTTGCTATAGAGGGGCGTGACATCATGACACACCATCACCCCCAACCCCCTGGCGATAGGAGCCAGGAATCGGCTTGTGTGGGCCAGAGGAGAATAATCAATTGCAGAGACCGTGCTCTCAAGACGACGTTTTCAGATCTTGGCAATGTTTTGGGTGCCTTCGAAATGATTTTTTCAGCCTATTTGAATACCGCAAAAATTGACTCGGGCATGCAGTCCATTAACAGAGGGAGAGGGAGAGAGAGAAAAAGAGAGACAGGGAGAGGGGGTGGAGAGGGGGCAGAGAAGGAGGAAGAAGGCTTGCAATCACAAGCGATAAATGATATATTTGGTATAGCGTTTTATAACGTCACAGACAATGTTTAGCAAAAGTGCGCTGTCTATTGGTAGCCGCTCTGCTTGCTTGGTAACGATGTTATAGGTACAAGGAGAATTTACTGAGCAAGCCTGTGGGCATTCAAATATACACAGCAATGAAACCGAACTTCTCCTATAATTAGGGCAATGCCCACTTTTGGTGTAGGTCAAGATTTCTGGAAACCCCGAAATCTGGGGTAACCCGCTTGTCCTTTAAAGTGACCATGTACTCTCGAGGTCTTAGCTGGGTACCCATTTCAACAACGGTGAAACGCTAGCAATTGGTATAGTCTCTAGCAAGGACAGCTGTGTTGACGATCAGTGTTAACTGTAAAAAAAAATATATAAAAAAAACAAGAATTGTTATGATATTGCAGACAGTGTTTGATTAACGGCGTCACAATGTTTTCGCCCTGTGATTTTAGAAAATGGGGTGGAAAAAAAAGAAGAAAAAAGAAAAGAGTAGGAGTACGGGATAAGTTCTGCTCTCTTGCACCAGATCACTTCCTCACGGGGTGTGTCACGTAACATCTAATATACAAGAAACAGAAAACCACGAACCAGAGACAAATAGGCTAGGCGAACAAATTTGGAGCAGCAGTCGGGTTTCTGATTGGTTAAACGTTTCGTCGCTGTCGAATCGTTCTCCGGGATGTGTGCACCATCTGTGAACTGAACTAGATGTGGACGAGCACCATATGCGAGCCCGGGGGTGGCCGGGCGGCGGTATTGACATTGCCCCGTTGCGATAAGACGATCCTGGAGACAAGATGGGAAAAACATTGTCCAAAGACAAAAAGGAGGTTAAATCTAGCCTGCGTCATTTATTTTATTCCCACGTTCTTTTATTTCATTTTTCTTGATCTGCTTCGTCTCGTCTCTCTCCTCTCTCTCTCTCTCTCTCTCTCTCTCTCTCTCTCTCTCTCTCTCTCTCTCTCTCTCTCTCTCTCTCTTTCTCTCTGAAAAAATAGCAATTAATTATAACGGATCTTTGCTGTTTGTATGATCTTCCTATAAAGTATGTGCAGCATTTGACGGCACTATTTTTTAAAAAACGAGACAAGTGTTTATTTATTGTTCCAAAATGTATTTGTACAGACGTCTGCCAGATTTTTGGACGAACAGGTCAGACTTTCTCCCGCTGGAAAATGTGTAGTCCGAGTCCTTGTATGATTTTTTGGTGCCTGGCAGTTTTCATCTGTCCTCAGCTGTGGTGTGCTATTTTTAGATGTTATTGTTTGTGTTCAAGAGTACCATTTGTAGGGTGCAGCGCGTAAATTATTCTTAGCAATCATTAGTGGGTTAATGAACGCAACGGAGAACGATGACCGAGGCACGGCATAACGACAATAAGCCAGTGTGTTTAGTCTGTATGTTCTGTGTGTTTTTGTGTATGTATGTGTGTCTATCTGTATGTGTGTTGTGTGTGTGTGTTTGTGTGTCTGTGTGTGTGTGGGGGAGGGGGGGGGCGTGTGTGTGTTTTGTAAATGCTCTGTTTTAAGTGCATAAATATGTGGGCATGTGAGAGAGATAGAAAGGAGTTAGAGAGAGACGTGTTTGGTAATACATTTTTACTCACACTCG